CTTTCTGTAAACGCTATGAAAAAGGGGAGGAGTTTTGGGGATGTTAGATCCCCGGAACTTGCGTGATAAATATCTTTATTTTGGATTTATTTGGTGGACCGATCAGTTGACCTCGAGATTGTAGCATCTCATCATTCATTCATTGTACGTTCGTTTGAATTATTCGATAACCGTATTGACCATAATTTTGTATTTGAATAATTCGATTACAGTATCGATTATCATATATATATATATATATATATATATATATATATATATATATATATATATACATATATTTTCATAGTGTGCTGGCTCTTGTTGTAGAATACAATTTCTACGCTTATCAAGACTTCTGTTTTGCAGTTTCGGATTCAAGGTAGCCTACCTGGACGCTGGTAATTGTCTCGTTCGCGTTCATCGACAGAGTTGAACTCGTAATAGCTTTAAGCGTACCAAGTGACGAGCGTAACAACTTTCGATCTCAATCTCAAACACTCAAGTATTGGATAACTCAGGTGACTGATATTTTGCAAACTCTAGCAGACTGTTTCGTTTTTGAAACTCGATTCCCTGTTGAATTAACTGGATCTACTTCGATATTGGATTATCAGTTTTGTTGCTGAAGTGGTTTGTTCTTTCTCCATCTAATTTGGCTCAATCCTATAATTTATGAAACTGGAAAATCCGTTTTCTTCAAGGGAGTAAGTCAATGGTGTTTTATATCTAGTTGTGTAAACTCCGAATTACACTGTTTGCAACTGAATATCAAAAGTGCAAACGTTATTTTCAGATAAACCCTTCATGTAATTGACGAGAATCTGGAAAATCTGTTCACAGTTTTTCAAGGCACTTACTTTAATACAAATATTGGGATGATACAGACACAATTTCCTTGCTCTAAACACTGTTTCATGGATGATTACAACTAAGATCATATCACTGTTTCATCAGCGAAACCATAGAGACATTCAGTGCGAAGACACTTATATGACAATAACGCGATAACAAGAAAATGATGCCATCTCGTTCATGCCGGTTCTGTTTTAGTACCAAAACGTATTATTCGAAATCTCATCTCAATATAACACTCTAGGAAAAGGATGAAAGTAATTCCAAGTAAACTGATATGAAATACTCAGCTGAACTGTTGCGAGTGAATCGTCTCCTACATTTAACATGTCAAATAATAATTTTGTCAGTTCAATCAAATCGCAATATAACCACTCCATTTCTCATGTTATCAAGAGTACATTGAATAAACTTGTTTGAAGATTTTTTGAGCATATTCCTGATAACTCCAAGGAATAGCGATGAAACCTTAAGTGATTCTTTGAGTATCATAAATGTACATAGTTTTTCTGTGCCTCACAACAGTCACTGGAGTAAGGGTTCAATTCTATTTTCATATAGCTTTCGGTTTGCGACCTAGAGAGTGATTACCATAGTTCTGATGCTTGCGGCTATATTGTCTGTCCACCTTATTTAGTAACAGTAGTACCAATGCTATTTGAATTTAACATGATGGTTGATTTGATAGTCGAATGTTAATTCTTTTACATTTGCTGACCTTATTTCTCTTTCGTTGCTCCTAGGGTTTCTAAGGTAGTGTTGATGCTACCTATTTATATTCAGTAGACAATCTTATGGGTGTAGACAGTAACTACAGAAGACTGTGTATGAGGTTGCACAACACCGTGAATTGATCAAGCTTGATATCAACATCGTTAGATACCGGCCCAGTGGTCCGATATGAGTTCACTCACAATAATAAAGGTCCTGAGGTCGAATCCTGCGAGGTGCAGGAGTCTTAGATGCGCACTGCTGGGGAGACCCACACCAGGACGAAACGGCCGTGCACTGCTTCCAAATTTCTAATGGTGGTCTAACATTGATCGATTCATGATTTAAAAAAATGTGTACCTTAAAAATCTTCACAACCCCGTAATGCAAATCTTATGTTTGACAGTGTGTAAAGTCACTCCCAAAACTCTTGTGATGGATATTCTTCGTTTTGTACTTCCAGTGAATTTTGTTTAAACTGATCAAGTTTTATATTAGTTTACTGTGAGTTCTTTTTCGGTTTTTGTTACTATTAGACACAGTGACCAGTTATAATGAAACTCTTTTCTCTGAAGGCATTTAGACACGTTAATCGTCCAAGAAACCTCACGAGTTGACATCTATACCTAATGTATGTTTTTTTCATTATCCAATAAACCGTTCATTTGACAAATGGTTGCTTACTCTGAACTTGAAAACCACACATATCTACATCCTGTGTTTAGACGGACGCATCAACAGATTTAACACAAGGAAATCACAAGTCTGTTATCTTTTACCAGTTTGTATTTCCTATAAAATATAATCATCAATAGAACAAAACTATAATAACTAAGAGTAAGTTTAAAAACAGCTGTTTTCTAGCTGAATTGTACATAAGTTAGGTACATCATAATTGAATGTATCCATCTCGTGTATCCATCCGGTGTAATTTCGGCTAATGCCTATGGCGAGCTGTACAGTGGTGAGAAGAGGGAACAATAAATAACATGAATTTAGGTGTATAAACATTCCAACATTGATATACGTCATAAACAACCATGAAATCATTATTTGCTTACTTGACACATTGGCTAGCACGATGTTTAATGCAGTTTTATTGAAGTAAGGCGCTCTCGTAGTTAGTCTGTGTCCTGTAGAGTTTTGAGAAAAAGCAACAATAAATAACATTATTTTGACGGTATAGACATTCGAACATTGATATACGTAATAAACATATTTAACAAAGTTATGGATTGTGAACAAAATTTCGTTTGAAAATTTTATATCTGTCTTGTATATCAATCATTTTTTTTATTGCCTACAAGTGAATCATTTATGTCAGGTCTGTGAAAAAACATTTTACTGAACATAACAATCAAGTCAGTCAATTGAAGTATTGTCTCCCACTAAACAACTGTCAACTGATGACATACATAGTTAAATTTTTACACAAAACTTATGTAGTTGGTGATTGTGCAACCTAAGCGCTATTCATTTACATGAGATAACTAATGGGATAAAATATAATGGCCATTTTGATGTTTGCCTAGTCGTTTGTGACGCTCTTATTTTCCTGATAACATTTCAATTTAGCAACTAATATCACCAATTCAAAAATATTTAGTCTTCAGTGTTGCAATGGTATTGATGGTAACTGATACGAGTACTTGGATCTTTGTTTAGTACAAATTGTACACAACATCATTCTTGAAAAAAATGATACTCAATAAAAAACGTCATCAAACTAGATTTTGTGTTATCATTAGTAATCAATTGGATATTTGTGATATGGACCGTTTTCTCATTCATTTGCAGTGGGATGAATAAACTACTTTTATTAATATTCAACCAGACAAGTTGTTGTTACTTTCATAA